AAGGGAGCAAGGGAGAGAAGTAAAAGAACATGCTATCATCGTATGCTGTTATCTTATGTTGCTGCTTGGCATCACGCATGCAAACCAATGTATGACATAAGCATGTATAGCGAGTGTGGGAAAGATAGGGGAGGGTGATCGATAGGTGGAAGGGAGAGGATAAAGTACCCTACACTCATTAATGGCATCAGCAGGCAAAACGATGTATAGCAAGGGGTGTGAAATGGAAAGGGAAGTGAGAGTGAGGAGAGTGGAAAGGAGGAGAGGACAGTGTAGAGCATAATATAGTCATGTACGCAGGGGTGTACCAGCTGCACCAATTGCGCCAATTTGATACAATTCCTGATTCTTGTGCCGAGCTGCAACCTAAATCATGAAATTTGCTGAAATTGTGCCACACTGTGCCTAAATCCCCAGCCAGTCTCAATTTTTTTCAGGTGCGCTAATTTCGGTGAGAAATGCAGGCTACGTAGGCCACCTGCAGTTTGCGCCATCAGTCATAGCGCTCAGACCCGAACTATAGTGCCTCGAATATACCTAAAATATTCTAAGCATACGTCGTATGGTCTCGACATGTGATCGACTGGATAAAGTAACAAAGCTGCGCGCCCGTCAGTCTGCTGACCATAGTGGATACTTATTGGCGGGACGACGAAACTTCAAGACAAAAGTGCGTTGCTGTAGCCACCAACGCTTCGCGGGAAATGTAAATTTTCTAGCCTAAAAACGTGGTAATAGCTTGTTTATAACTAAAGCTGGAAGCGAATGCCGTGTTTTCCTCACACTAACAAGCTCGACGGGCTGTGAACGCCGGCGTTGCCAGCAACCATGTGCAGTGGCACATGAAACATTTGTCTTGAAGTTGCATTGTCCATGTCACAATCCTGGCGATAGATATCCGGTACTGTCTCCGGGCCGCCGTGCGCGCGCTATTGTTACTTTACCTGGTCGAACACGCCTTGCAAAAGAGACGAAGTGGCACCTAACCCCATGGTAAAAGAAAAGGGAGAGGGGGGAAGTGGTGTAGCAGTTAGAAAATTTTTTAGCTTTAGTTCTATTGCTGCTTCAGTCACCTTCGCCGCAGTATGCCGGTGCCCTGCAGAAAAGCGTATTGAGAGTTAGAAGGGGCTGTTAGTCTAGTGGGACACTGCACATTTTGCTCAGTTACTCATGCGTTTGTACACCGCACAATTCTGAGTACCAGTATAACCACTGACGTCTAAATAAGCTACCGGCAATCATTTGAAGCAGTGCAGGACATGGCTGCTTCCCTAAAAAAAAAAAAAAACTTAATTATGCGGCAGATTTTTTTCTCGCCACCCCTACTTCTTGATTTTACGAATCTCCCAATTTTAAGGTCACGAGCTTAGCGATTGATATTTAAATTCGTGGAGTCTGTCAAATTATTTGACCGGCGCAACAAATGTCAATGTGGACTTTATCATTGTTTGCTCAGCGAGGTGGTTCAAAATACTACTTTCATTGACACAACAGTGCTCATGTTCACACTGCTAGATTTAGGTGATGTTGAATGGTTTATACATGATTTTTTTTCTAAATGTAAGCCTTCTTTTTTATACTGCTGAAAATTTCGCATGTCATGATGAAAAATGCATGCTTATTTTTCCCCTGTAACCTGCGCCAAATTTGGAATTTAGTGCTCTAAAAGTAACGTTTTGCTGCTTCAAAAGTTGCTGTTGCACCCCTGTGTATGGGGTCACAAAGGCAAAACCATGTATAGCATAGCCATGCATAGCAAGAAGGGTGGGAAAGGGGAATAGGCCAATAGCCAGTTATCAGAAGGGAGCCTGTGATAGCCAAATGCAGAAAGGTGGTAAGGAAGAGAAGTGCAGGTGAAGAGGAGAGACGAGGGTGGATCGTAGCATAGCCACGCATAGTATGATATGACAACTGGACGGTAAGGTTAATGAGGGTGAGATGTAATGCAAGAGAGAGGAGGAGTGTTTAAGGGTGCCAATCACGGTGTAACAATATACAGGTGCTGATACTCTCCCTGCAACGCGTTGAAAAACGCACTCCCAGCGCATTCAGATAATGTCCGGGTTGTTATCAATTATCTCCCAGCTTCATTGCTGCATTTTTAGATGGCGCTACGACGAGCGGGGTCAGCCGTCTCGGTCTCAACAAAGCGCTCGGCAGAAATGTTCCGAGTTTTTTTTGTTTGCATGTGTGACCGTGCTGTTTTGAAGCCGGGTTTTTCTGTTCGCGTATGTTTAATGCTATTCTGTCGATGAAGGTGACATCAAACTGCTGAAAGGTTCTCAAAATGGCTAGAATGTGTTTTTTACTGAATTGCCGTTCTGGCTTCTTTCAGACTTGTGCAAGCGTGTTCCAATTCAAAGTGCCGTCTGACAGTGATTGTTGACATAAATATGCGAATTTGCTTGGCAACATCTAGCCATAAACAACCGCATTGTTTTAGTGTGCTGTCTATAAAATACTTGCATGGTTCAAATATTTATATATGTCATGAAACAACTGCATTGCGCTTGTGTTCTTGGTATGGAATACTTGCGCGTTTCAAATATTTATTTATATTGCGTTCATATTGAACAAGCACAACTATGCTTTAATAATTTCCTGTGTAAATGAAAGCAGTGATACCCATGAAATTTGTTTCTTGTGCAGTAACGATTCTCTTTTAATAGAGGGGTAATAATTAATAAGGGGGGTTTATGCATCAAAATCAAGATTTGATTTCGAGGGACGCCATAGGGGAGGGCTCTTGTCTAGTTTTGATCATCCTGAGCTGTTCAACATGCACCTACATCTAAGCACCTGAAAGTTCCTTGGATTTCTTCTCCACTGGGAAGTATTTTGATGGAGGAATAGCATGCTGGCTAACGGTTTTTTTCAATAATTTTGTTTGTATCGAGCAGTACTGTGTACAGACAAAAACACTAGTGCGCGTGAGCAGAACTATTTGTGCTGATGAAGTTTACACCCTGCAGAAAGCATTTTTGTGTTAATGAATACTTAAACCTGGTAAAACTTTACCTTTTAATCTGAAATAACAAATTTCTTTCGCACCTTAAGTGTTACTTGCACTGCTTGGAACGGAAAAGTTGGGGAGGCAGAGGAATTTCAATGTGCCAGCACCGCTCACTGGGTACGTTGGCGGCAAAGCCATCTGACAGCTCGCAGCACAGTGCACCTGCGAGACCAAACAATATCTGGCCACTCAGGCACGCTCAGTGTCAACACCTGATTATTCTTGCACCATGGTGCCAATGCATCACAAATCAAGGTTTCTGTTCTTGTCATGGAGACCTAGCAGGCTGCAGATCTGGAATACTTGCGCATGCTCGTGAACGAAGCTGTTGCTGAATGAATGAAGATTCTTCAGCCGCGCTCACAGGCTGCGTTTGTCCAATCCACTACTATGGTGTCTTGTCTTGGGGCAGTGCAAGTTTACAACCAACCAGTCTTTTGACACATGCTCCTTGAGTTCGTCACTGAAGGACAGCTGAATCTTTGTTGCACACATTCTATAGCTTTCATGTGGAGTACAACTGCATAAATTTTTTCCTGATCCAACAGCTGATGTAACTTAGTCTCATATCGTAATTTGCACCTGCTAGATTTTTACCCCGATTTTCTGAAAAAAAAAAAAAAAAAAAAGCTTTCACCTGTATGTTTTATGCAATTCGCTGTGGCCTGAAAATGAATGGGCATGGAAGGTAAACTTGGGGAATATCTGCGTGGTCATGCTGTCAAATGTTCCATTTGCCAAAAACAAAATTCTGACTGGAACTCTCCAACAGAGAAATTTTTCACGTCGACGTTAAAAGTGCGAACACTTTGATTTTGCTGATTCATTTTCCATAGAGTCTAATTGTTAATGTGTCCTACAATCTCTTTTTGTCAGGTTAAATGTGTCCTTCAACTCACGCTGTGGTCACCAACACAATGTCTTGCAAAATATCTTTACTTTCTCAGTAAGCGCAGAAACTGGTCAACCATTGGTTCTGACATCATTGTAAATGCAACAATGCCATTACGAATAAGCAATTGAAGTGCATGCAGGGGTCTTAGCCACTGATGAATGCATCAGTGCAGCTTATTCCTTAGAAACCTATTGTGATAGGCAGCTTTTGCTCAGCACTGCACGTGGTGAAGTGCCATTCCCTGCATACTGCAGACATTTGATGGCAGATGACCCAAGCGAGTCTTGTTTGGTGTGTGGAACTGCTTCAAGTGCATGTTGCTTCCAAAATTGAATGGTACACTTTAGTGCCATTAGGCCTAGAAAAATGAACTTGTTCACCTGTGCACTGTGAGAATTGGTGTAGACATCAACAAACCTCACTGCCCAGACAGTCCCATGACAAACATCTGCATACAACAAATCAAGTGCAAGGGCAGTAATGGAATGATCTGGGTGAGCAACATGTTGCACACAAATAGTTGTGGGGGTCATAGCCGCCACGTAGCAACAGATATCTCTTTTCAGTGATGCAGTGCCGATTTTGACTGTAGCAGATCATTTTACTAGTGTGCACACGTGTTGGGTAAAGCCGGACGGGGTGTCCACTCTGCCGCCATGTTCCCTGTCATAGTTTTGAAATGCTTCTTGGTATCTCTTATCACAAGGTCATGTGAAAGTGCCCAGTTTGTTTTTCTCTATGCTTTGGTGAAAAGATAGAATAGGCCTTTTAGTACTTAATGGTGAGTACGTAGTGATGCTGTGTCTTCTCGGCTTGTACACGTTAATACGCTTTTGGTGTATTGTGTAAAATTCTGGGTTGGGCTCTTGTTGCTGTTTCAGCTTACTGGCTATTATTGTCACTGGCTGCCACTTCTGGTCAGCCTTTTTTTGTGTGTGTATGCCTAGAATTATGTGAATATTTTATATACTATGACCTTGTAGATGTTACTAAGGATGTGACTGCGAAAAACCTGTTGCCTAAAATAGTATTCTAATTAATTATTCATTAATATTTCTAAATGTATAATTGCTGCCATTTCACATTCTTTAGGAGGCACAGCAGTAGCGATGGACCCCCTGAAGGCTTGCACAATGTACTTGAAAGTTTGTCAAACACAGATGGTGGACAGGTGAGCCCCCCCCCCCCCCCCTATTTTTAAATGTGTGTTCGTATGTGTGTGCGTGTTCAGCATTTGGCAGTTTGCATTACTTTGGTATTTGGTTGCTGACCGAAAGGTCACAGGTTCAGTTCTTGGCCGTGACAGTTGGATTTCGATGAAGGCAAGATGCTTGAGGCCTGTGTACTGTGTGATGTGAGGGCATGTTAAAGAACACCACATAGCCGAAATTTTTCGAGCCCTCTACTACGGCATCGCTCATAATTACATCGTGGTTTTGGGACTTTGAACACAAGATGTAATTATTATATTGGTAAACAGTATAAAGCCATTTATTTGGTAACGAGTGGGAAGCTTTCAATGATACATCATTAGGTAGCCCTACATCTCTGCTAAGCATGTGGAAAGTTACAAAAGCGTACCAAGCGGAACTATGGCTGCTTAACTCCTTCATTACGGCGAGAAACTGTCAATTTTTTATAGGTCCCAGTAAGAAATTTTTATCCAGTTCAAAAAGTGCTCCAGAACACATTGCAGCACACCAAATTATGCTTAATGAAAAGCTCTTTTCTGAAAATATGTCATACCCCCCAAAAATGTTATGGAATATATAAGAATTTGAAAGTTTAATTTTTCTTGCCAATCGATAAACACAGCTGTAAAAAAAAATTATATTTACAATAACATTCAAAACAAAGAAAATTCAGAATATACATTTTGGAGGTAAACAACCCAGGGATAGTATTAACAAATAACAGATGCCTTACACAATGTTGGTTTTAACATAAATGCACACACACACACACAAAAAAAATATTTAAACGAGGCACTGCTTCAATGCTCATGCCATGCAGTGAAGCCTTTCCTGGTTTTTGTGAGACACGGGTGCACATCGTGCACTTTTTGCACAAACTTTTTGTTCTTTTATGAAAAAGCCTGCTCGTGTCCTAATACATGTATAAGTAGTTTCCCAGAATGTGACCAATGCTTATATAAATCAGAAGTTCATTCTTCATCAGTTCGTAGGGCGTCGCATTTTACCATGGGTGAGCTCTCTCCACTAGGTTGTTTCGAAATAGGTATATATGGTATTGATCACCACTGCCATGAAAAAAAAAAAAAAAGAAAAACAACAAATTTGCGTGGTCATAAAACATCTGGCATCATTGCGTAGTGTTGAGTCGAGATGTGCTCCAGGTGTCCTTCTTGGCGTGAAGAGAAGCTTTGAAGCTGGCACCAGCTCATAGCAGTCGAGGGCCATGTGGACCATGCACTAACCAGTGTAGCTCTAGAAATTTCCATACATAGATCAGCAGCTATACATGCCTGGCAGAGAAGACCACTTGAGGCCATAAATAAAACCAATCCCTGAACCGTTTGGATGTCTCAAGCTGACGTAAAAATTTTTTGGCGCAGAGGTGCTGTCATCTTCTGTCTACAAGCTCATTTCCTCTTCACTCGGTTCATGTGCGGTTGGAAGTTAGTTTCAAGTGGCTTGTATATTTCACAGCGCAGGTGCACACCCATGCAACGACTAGCGATACCAAATGGTATCAACTAGTCATTGTAGCAGCAACTAGCGATATCGGATGCACTCCTCTGTATGCTTTAACATGAGAAGCAAAACCGAACTCGCCTGTAAACTGCATGTAAATGCCACTTTCACACATTCTACATGTGACGGACCTTCGGAAATAAGCTTTAGTACAGTAAATTTTTCTCGACTCCAAACAGCTGTATAGTGAGTAGCTGGTATAAATTTCTGGCACTTATTATTACTCAACACTGTGAGATGGCAAAGATGGCACCATAATTAAATATTTGACTTGCAATGGTGTGTTTGATTACAGAATTTCGACCTTTCTCAATCAAAACTATGAGCAGCACGCATTTCTTTCTTGTGCTTGAGCCACATGCACTTTCCCAACAACACGAGCTCATTGGTTCTTTGAAAGGTTTGTCGAAACTTACTATGTTGCCAAAGTTGTGAAATTCAAACTTTTTTAGAAAGTTAAGTGCTAAGAGCATCAGAAGCAAATCCAACATGTGAAAGTCAACTATTCAAAGCATCAATCGCCAATGATTGTTGTGCATGTATAGCCGCCGACTTTTGTGCACAATTTTAGAGCTACTTTAGTATGTGCAAAGACCACACATCGCTTGGGCATACTGTGCTGGCGCTAGCTACAAGGCTTCCCTTCACGCCAACAAGGTTGCCTGGAGAACACCTCAGTGTCCTTTGACGGAGGGGTATGAAACGTCTTACAATCGCGTGCGATTTCATTTTCTCTTTTTTTTTCATGGCAGAGGTTATCAATAACTTATGCAAAAATGCAAATATATATACTTGGCTGCATATTTTGGAATGCCAACCTATCTGGAAAGAGGAGAATTGGGAATAGGTGATACCAGATAAACGGGGAAAGTTTATTAGACTTCTGATTTATATAAGCATTGTTCACATTCCATGTGTCGATCTATAATGAAACAATGGTAGGCTTTTCTCCTGAAAAAAAAAATAATAAATAAACGAACTTTTTGTGCAAAAAGTGCAGGAGCAGCTCCTTTTACCAAATCATCTGTGTGATTGTGACGCGAAATGGTGGCACAAATTCTGTCTCATTGAGGTGGTTTGCTTTGCTTACAAGATTAATAGTGATATTAAGGGCTTTAAGATTTAGTGGGTGGCATAAAAGAACAAATGTGATTGTGTGGCAGCAAAAGCATGCGATCGTAAAAGTAATCCCAAACATTTTCAGCAGGGCGTGGAGGGCACACCATCACTTCAAGTTCAAGTTTCAAGTTTTAAGTTTCAAGTTTATTCAACAACGATGTCAGTTTACAGAAAAGTGCCCCCACACTTAAGCTACAGCAGCGCTCCCCTGCTCCTCCAGCCGCTATGCAACACGGGTCACACAGGTTTGCACCCCTCATTACAATATCCTGCCACGCCCACAGCTACGCCTACTGTTTATAATTAGGGGTGTGCAAACAGTGAATTTTAGAACTGAAATGAATACAAATCAAATGCTGTTACAACATTTTTTTAATATTAAGGCAACCACTTTTAAAGAAGCCCTTAAATGGTGGGGTAACAAGTTACTTAAAACAAACGATCATGAACATTAACAAAGGAACATTATGGTTGCTGGTTACTTCTGACTAAAATATGTAATACCTCAATTTTCATGAGTCAAAAGTATGGTGAATTTCATAGTGAAGATAGTGCATTTATGACACCGTTTCTTCAGCGATGCTGTAAGTTTAAGCAAGAACTTCATTCTGTGATCAATATCCACTCCGTGCATGACAACTCTCGTTCTGCTGCTGCATGCTTGAATTGGTCAGCTGCAATTATCTTTCGTGTTGCTCCGGCTTTCATAATGCTGGTCAGAAAAAAAAGTTATTCAAGGTACTTTAATTCAGCTCAAGGCTGATGGAATGCTTTAATGACCTTAATTATTAACTCGCTGTCTATTTTTCGCAGTTTTGGTGAATGCAATTCAAAGTCAGTTAGTGCTTTTGCTGGGTTGATAGGACCATCAGTTAAGGGGCAAACTGAGTTATGTTGGATATTACCACAAACACAACTAGCTAGCTGTCCAGCAACGCTACGAGAATGCGGTAGGATCAAGCTAAGACTTTGATCGGTTGGTTGACCCTTATTAAACTGGCCCAACCCACCCCGGGGGATTGGCCATGAAATGGCAGTGCCTTATTATATAAAGGAATTTGTTAATAATCTCACAATGCTTAGCAATGGGTAGTTTTCGAAACAAGTAATTAGTTCAATTCACAAAAAAACACTAATATTATGGAAGAATAACCTTGACTTGGCAGATAATTTTAGCATTCGATTCGTTTCATCTCGCATAGTAAATCACATTCATTATTGCAAACACTCTATTGGCTAAAACCTTGTGCTGTAGTCCCAAAGGAAAGAACCCCAGGAGTGATAAATTGAATCCCATCCTTTGGAGTGGTTCGAGAAGTTTTTTTTCTTCGATTGGTAAACAATCTGCATGTCAGGAAGAAATGATGTAGGGCAAAGAGTAGCAGAACTACAGGGTGAAAAATGAAGCTTTGCCAATGCTGTAGCGATGGATGCGTGTTTCTGAAAGCAACATAAACAATGCAAGAGGTTGTAGTAAATGAGAGAGACGACACGGTGGCCGAAGTGACCATGGCCTAAGTGATCGCCATTTTACAAGGTGACACAAAAGGTGAAACAGGGCTGCGGAGTCCTCTCTGACCGAAATCGTAGAGCGTTCTCTTTCTCGGCCGCGCCTAAAGCTCTTAGCATAGCTGCTCAAGTGGTGAGGTAAAGACCGTGATCATGATGAGCGAGGATGATGTCGCGACAATTTCAAGTGAAACAATTTGCGAGACTCAGTGACTGAAAATCACCGTGGCGTGAAGCCGCAACAAATGAGCACACTGCTGGCCACTCGCCATGATTTCCACGGCAAAGGGCTGTGGAGCCATCGAGATTTCTAAATGTGAATTTCTAAAATGAGTATTTTTCAAGTACGCAGGTAGTGGGTACGCACCAATAATATTTCAAGTGGGAAAAAACTGACAGCTTGTCGCGACAGTTATGAAGCAAGCATCTTGCATTGCACACATCTGACGCATGCATTTGCCGTCAGTACTGATGAGGGGCAGCAAGGCACTCGCTAATGTAGAAAACGTGGCCGCGTCCGTGTAGGTTTTCCCATTTATTCATTGTGGCATTGCTGAAGAATGTCTCCCTACGATATCTTAAAATCTGCTCGAAGAACCAATGCGCCGGCCATGGGTGCTTTTGCTACCACAGCTGTCAAAGCAATGAGGAGCTACTGTCTGCTGTAGACTCCGTGCGCTGAGACTGGCACGCCGCCGCGCGGCCTTCAGAGAAGACAAACGTTGAAAGCCCTAGCAAAACGAAACACTCCCCTAACGTTCGCTAGCACGTAGTTTATCTGAATCATGAACTGCTGCGTAGCCGATTGTACCAACAGGTACACGCCGTG